TGAGTTTTGTGCTTAATGTGCGTGAGGTTGTGCTTAATGTGCGTGGGTTTTGTACTTAATGTGCGTGAGTTTGTGCTTAAGATCTAACACTTAAGGTGCGCCCTTTTTAGCTTATACTTTTTACTTCCAGACACGCGTTTTTTTTTAATTTTCATTGATTTGAGTCGTTGATCTAGATTTGATCAACGGCTCAGATCTAACCGCACAAACGCACGAGAAGCTATACCTGCACCTGAACCCTTCCCAATATATATATATATATATATATATATATATATATATATATATATATATATATATATATATATATATATATATATATATATATATATATATATATATATATATATATAGAGAGAGAGAGAGAGAGAGAGAGAGAGAGAGAGAAGGGATCAGGTGAATTTGTGGCTTCCCGTGCGGTTGTGCGGAGGATTAATGTGCGTGAGGTTTATACTTAATGTGTGTGAGATTTATACTCAATGTGCCTGAGATTTGTACTTAATGTGCGTCATGTTAATATGCGTGAGTTTTGTACTTAATGTGCCTGAGTATTGTGTTTAATGTACGTGAGATTTGTGCTTAATGTGCGTGAGTATTTCAGAATTACGAGCTCAGAAGGAAGCAGAACAGAAACTCACGCACATTAACGCCCAAGCTTCTTGTTACTTCTTCCTTCAATTTGGCCATGGATTCTGGATTATCAGCTACCTTCAGTGCAGTTGAATGTTTATATAGATGACGCACGCACAGTAAAATTTGCACAGCTGCTAAGTGTGGATTTCTGTTGTATTATTCCCATAATTCTTAACCACCATAGCCCGCCTCCGCATCATCATCATCAGGGAGGGGGCAATGGCTACTGGGGATGGGGAAGAAGCTGGCAATTATTATTTTAGTAGCTACAACAAAAAATAATACATATATACATTTCTTTAATTTAGAATTATGTGTCTACAATGCTTTTATTAAAAAAAATATTCATTATCAATAAATTAAATAAGAGAAATAATTTCATTAGTTATATTGTCTTTATTTTTCTCCAATATAACAATTCTTTACATTCAAATTCATCAATTGATTATATTTGCTACATTGTCCCTACAATGTCTTTATTTTTAAAAAAAAATATTCATTATCAATAAATTAATTAAGAGAAATAATTTTATTAGTTATATTGTCTTTCTTTTTTCTCCAATGTAAAAATTCTTTACATTCAAATTCATCAATTTATTATATTCACTACATTGTCTATTATCTTTTTTGTGCACTATTTTTTAATTAAATATCAAAGTTATAATACAAAATAATGTTATATATTTATTTACCAAGTATTTTATTAATACCATGAAAAAATTAAAAATATATATAATTAATAAAGTCAATCATATTAACTACTTGAGGATTTGTTGGCAAAGAGAGTATTCAAATCACACAACAATTCAAATTGAAGCAGGAAACTACCTCGCAATGTCCTTGTTTGACAATCAGCAGCTAGCGGTTAGCGTTAGCAAATTATATTGGCGGATTTGACCAGCGAATTATATCAACGGTGGATAAAAATATATTTAAAACAATTAGCTGTTTAGTTTAACATGTAAATGACCTAAGGGTATATAATAATAATAATAATAATAATAATAATAATAATAATAATAATAATAATAATAATAATAATAATAATAATAATAATAATAATAATAATTGTTTTAAAAAAAATTAATAAAAGAAATAAAATTAAAAAAAAAAAATATATGGGAGCCAAACGTTCGACTCCCCTTAGTTTTGCTATTTTTTCCACATTGGTGGGAAAGGTGGCATGGGAGCCTTGAGGCTCCTATAAAAGGAGCCTTAAGGCTCCAATTTAAAAATTAAGATTGTCCATCCGTTGATGGGCAAGCAGTGAGCCAGCGAAACTGAATCTTGTTATTCAATGAGTCGAAATGGTTTCACAGTAATTTTTTTTTTTTTTTTTAAATATAGAGGTGTTTTGGAGAAATCATTTTCAAAAATGCTAAGTGAAAATATTATAAATTGCAATGTTTGTATTTTCAGTAGTTTGGAACAAATTGTTGTTTCAAATTGTTGAATAACCAAACACTTTCTTTAGTATTTTGATCTTTGGGTTACATCATATTTACCAATCGTACGTTCAATATCTTTGGGTTACATTATAATTAAAAAATTTAAAATTTTACTACATCTAAATTCCTTAAATTATGAATTTCTTTATTCATAATAATTTATTCAACAATAATGGTTGAACTAAATGAACACTGAGCAAAACACATAAAGGACTGGTACCGTTGATTCATTCATTGATCTTGTATATTTGTGCATTTATTAAATATATTAGAACCCTTTGCAACAAAAAATACTTGGTCACTATTTTAAATTTTTTTAGTAACAATTATAATGAATCTCCTATATTACATTGTATTCATATACTATGAGTTACATATTTAAATAAACAAATTCGACATTAAATTATTTATGTATGAATTTCTCATATATAATCTTGCATTGATATACTTTTAAATATTTATTTAATTATATAAACATTAGACATTAACTCATTCGCGCAATGCGCGTGTAAAACTAGTAATTATATATAATTGAAAATAAATTACTTCGTTTTGTTGAATTCATAAAATAAAAGAAAAGAAAATATTAAATTTGCTTTTAATTATCGCAAAATTTGAGTTAAAATGTTTATATATACCAACACTATGAAAAAACTTATGAAGTTAATATATACAAATAGGAAATAAATTTCAACAGAATTGAATAAGAGGTCAACACAAGATAATCCATGCGAGAGTCTCTGGTTTCGTAGACCAGTTGCAACATACTCTCACAATCCATGGGAAAGCAATTGGCGACCTCAATCCAAGTGGTTGGGTTCACTATCTCCCACCGAATGGTTTTCGACCTCAACTAGTGTTGTCAATACGGGTTGGCGGGGCGGGGCGGGCCAAAGCCCGGTGGGCCGCGGGCCTAAATGGGGCAGGCTAAAAAAGCCCGCTCCTAAACGGTCCTGGGTTTGACAGGCCTTGACCGCCCCGCCAGTGGCCCGCGGGCTAGGCGGGCCCCCGCCTAAACCCCATTTTTAAAAAAAAAAAATTATTCATCAAACATCAAACTAATTAAAATAAATTGATACATAAATCATAACTCACATAAAACATAATAATCAAACATTAAATATTACATAAAGTTCAAAGTTCATAATTTATCAAACATCAAACTAGTCGCAACTCCAAAGTCCAAAAATATTACACATAACAATAATTTTAAAGTGCATATTTTATATAAAATAAAATAAAATAATGGCGGGCAGCTCACCCCCTACCTAAGTAAGGGCGGGCCAAGCCCGTTTTGACGGCTCTGACCTCAACCCAAGTGAACCATTAATTAGTTAAATGGTAAATCAACTTCACTGGGGATCAAACCAGAATCTCTTGTTTCGGAAACCAACGCCTTATCCATTGGGCCATGAGGTCTTTAATAGTTATGTAGTTTTAATAGTTAATGCTGAACCATTAATTAATTAGTTAAATAGTAAATCAATTTCAATTAATTAGTTAAATAGTAAATCGATTTCACTAAGGATCGAACCCAAAATCTCTAGTTTCGTAAACCAGCACCTTATCCATTGGGCCATGAAGTCCTTAGCCATTATGTACTTTTAATTGTAATTAATTATAACATTGGAATTGATATGTATTAACTTGTTGAAAAAGAGGTCGGCGCAAGACACTCTTACAATCTATGGGAATCGGCGAATGGTTTTCGACCTCAACCGAAGTGGTTGGGTTCACTATCTAAGTTAAGGAAAGTATAGGCTAGACTCAATACTGAACCATTAATTAGTTAAATAGTAAATCAACTTCACTGGGGATTTCGTAGACCAGCGCCTTATCCATTGGGTCATGAAGTCCTTAGCCATTATGTACTTTTAATTGCAATAAATTATAACATTGGAAATGATTTGTATTAACTCAGCTCGTTGAAAAAGAGGTCGGCACAAGACACTCTTACAATCCATGAGAGAATGGTTTTCAACCTCAACCCAAGTGGTTAGGTTCATTATCTGGAAACTATAAACTAGAGTTAATGCTGAACCATTAATTAGTTAAATAGTAAATCAATTTCAATGGGGATCGGACCCAAAATCTCTGGTTTCGTAGACCAGCGCCTTATCCATTGGGCCATAAAGTCCTTAGCCATTATGTATTTTTAATTGCAATTAATTATAAAATTGGAAATGATTTGTATTAACTCGTTGAAAAAAAGTTAGGCGCAAGACACTCTTACAATCCATGGGAGAGGGGATCGAACCCAAAATCTCTGGTTTCGTACACCAACGCCTTATCCATTGGGCCATGAAGTCCTTAGCCATTATGTACTTTTAATTGCAATTAATTATAACATTGGAAATGATTTGTATTAACTCGTTGAAAAAGAGGTCGGCGCAAGACACTCTTATAATCCATGGGAGAAGCGATCAGCGCCACTTGCAAGACACTCTTACAATCCATGGGAGAAGCGATATCAATACTGAACCAGTGGTTGGGTTCACTATCTTAGTTAAGGGAAGCGACTTACAATCCATGGGAGAAGCCAGTGGTTGGGTTCACTATCTTAGTTAAGGGAAGCGGCTTACAATCCATGGGAGAAGCGATATCAATACTGAACCAGTGGTTGGGTTCACTATCTTAGTTAAGGGAAGCATAGGCTTACAATCCATGGGAGAAGCGATATCAATACTGAACCAGTGGTTGGGTTCACTATCTTAGTTAAGGGGTTAAGGGAAGCGGCTTACAATCCATGGGAGAAGCAATATCAATACTGAACCAATGGTTGGGATCACTTTCTTAGTTAAGGGAAGCATAGGCTTACAATCCATGAGAGAAGCGATATCAATACTGAACCAGTGGTTGGGTTCACTATCTTGGTTAAGGAAAGTATAGGCTAGAATCAATACTAAACCATTAATTAGTCGACTTCACTGGGGATTGAACCCAGAATCTTTGGTTTCGTAGACCAGCGCCTTATCCATTGAGCCATGAAGTCCTTAATCGTTATGTAGTTTTAATTGCAATTAATTATAACATTGCTAATGATTTGTATTTGTTAGAAAATAATAAATTTTGTGGCTCAAACCTGTGGAGACCACTTCCATCCACGTCGCTATGCATGTCTTCACTTCTTGCACGTCATATTGCATGCCATCACCGATTGTTGCGGAGCTTCACGCAAATGCCGCATAGCTCTCTCACTTTTAATTGTATAAATAGTTGTTTATCTTTTGTAATTCATGCAACATCAATTCATTCATTCTTTCTTCTTTATCATACGTAGAGTATATATATATTCCTTTGTTTTCTCTTTATAAGAGATTAATATATATATATTTATATTTTCCCACTTTATTAATTTATTTTGTCATTTATTATATTCTCCCCTATTATTTAACTTCTATAATTCTCAATTTTCGATTCTTCGCTTCCGCATTATTCCGCTATATTCCTAACAAGTGGTATCAGAGCTGTTTAATTGAGAGTTATTTTCAAAGATGTCGACTGTTACTAAGTTCGATATCGAGAAGTTTGACGGGAAAATTAGCTTCTCTATCTGGAAGGTTCAGATGGAAGCCGTTCTAACCCAGAACGGTTTGAAGAAAGCGCTAACTGGGAAGAAGAAGAAACCGGCTGCAATGACAGATGAAACTTGGGAAGATTTGGATGACAAGGCTCGTTCAACCATCCTTTTGTGCCTGTCTAAAGAGGTTATACGTGAGGTATTAAGTGAGACGACTGCGTCAGAATTATGGTCCAAGCTGGATACGCTTTACATGGCCAAAACTATGGCAAACAAGCTACGCCTGAAGGAGCGTCTATACACAATCCGCATGACGGAAGGTACTTCGATTAAATCTCATTTGGATGAATTTAATTCTATTTTATTGGACTTGGAGAATGTAGATGTCGTAATTGAAGATGAGGATCGTGCTGTTTTATTGCTTGTCTCTCTCCCTAAATCATACATGCATTTCAAAGAAATTATGCTGTATGGTAATAGTAGTAACACCCTTACTTTCGACACTGTTAAGTCAAACCTATTGTCCAAAGAAAAGTTTGATTTTGAAATTAAGTCTGAGGACAAAGGAGAAGGCTTAATTGTAAGGGGTCGTTCACTTGAAACAGAGAGTAGCAATAAAAAATCTAGATCCAAGTCCAAAGGACGTAAGTCCAACAAATCCTGTAAGTACTGCAAGAAGCAGGGTCATGATGTGACTGAATGCTTCAAGTTGAAAAACAAACAAGAGAGAGAAAAGAAGTCTGCTGAAGCTAGTGTTGTTGAAAGTGATTCAGAAGGTGATGTTATGTTATCTGTTAGCTCCGGTGACAAACGGAGTAAAACTGAGTGGATTCTGGACTCTGGTTGTACATTCCACATGTGTCCTCACAAAGACTGGTTCGTCTCTCTAGAACCGGTTGATGGTGGAGTTGTCTTGATGGGTAATGATACCCAATGCAAGGTTAGTGGAATTGGAAGTGTTCAGATTAAAACTCATGATAATGTTGTCAGGACTCTTACCAATGTTCGGTATATTCCTGATTTGAAACGCAATCTGATATCCTTGGGCACCTTGGAATCTCTGGGGTGCAAGTACATAGCTGAAGGTGGAGTTCTGAAAATCATAAAAGGCTCTCTTGTTCTCATGAAAGCTTCTCGTTCTGGAAGCCTGTACGTGTTGCATGGCAGTACTGTGACAGGTTCAGTAGCGGTATCCTCATCGATGTCTGATGCGGATCTCACTCAATTATGGCATATGCGTCTGGGACATATGAGTGAGAAAGGCATGCATCTCCTGAGCAAGAAAGGCTTCCTTGGTGGTTCAGGTACGGGTAAATTACAATTTTGTGAGCATTGTGTTTTTGGGAAACAAAAGAGGGTTAGTTTCTCTACTGCTACACATCGTACCAAAGATGTATTGGAATATATACATTCCGATTTATGGGGACCGACTAAATTCCAGTCTATGGGAGGCTGTAGATATTTTATGTCTATTATTGATGACTTTTCTCGTAAAGTCTGGGTCTATTTCCTGAAACATAAAAATCAGGCATTTTCTATTTTCAAGACGTGGAAAATACTCGTTGAGACTCAGACAGGTAAAAAGGTCAAGAAGCTCAGGACAGATAATGGCTTGGAGTTCTGTGAGTTAGATTTCAATGACTTTTGTGCAGCAAATGGAATCGCCAGGCACAAGACCTTGCCTGGTAAACCCCAGCAGAATGGTGTTGCCGAACGTTTGAACAGGACTCTATTGGAAAGAGCTCGTTGTATGCTCTCTAATGCTGGGTTATGGAAACGGCGTGATTTTTGGGCCGAGGCCGTTTCTACTGCTTGCTATTTGATAAATAGATCTCCACACTCATCCCTTGATTTCAAAATTCCAGAAGAAGTTTGGTCAGGTAATCCTGTTGACTACTCTATCTTAAGAGTTTTTGGATGTCCTGCTTATGCTCATTCCAGTACGGGTAAATTAAACCCGAGAGCTGTCAAATGCATTTTCCTTGGTTATGCTTCTGAGTCAAAAGGGTATCGTCTATGGTCTCCTGATTCTCATAAAATCATTCTGAGTCGAGATATCACTTTTGACGAAAATGCACTACTTTCTTCTAAAAAAGATTCCAGTACAGATGAGACGCAGAGTACTGGTGATAAGGTGGAGTTTGATTTCAGGCCTAATGATAGTATTACTACCACTAATGGTAATACTAAAGATGATGCATCTACAAGTACCGCACCTCTCGTCGAGCCACAGCGAGAGTACTCTATTGCCCAAGATCGGCCTAGGAGGACAATTAAAAAACCTGCTAGGTACGCTAGTGACGATGAAACCCACTTGGTTGCTTATGCTCTTTCAGTTGCACAGGAGGTTGATGGTGATCCATCCTGCTATTCTGAAGCTATTTCCTGTGCCAACTCGTCCAAGTGGTTGGTTGCTATGCAAGAAGAGATGGAAAGTCTCCATAAGAATGAGACTTGGGAGCTGGTAGAGTTGCCGAAAGGTAAACGCCCATTGAGCTGTAAGTGGATTTACAAAAAGAAAGAAGGCATTCCTGGGGTTGAGAAAGCACGGTGGAAGGCACGGTTAGTTGTTCGAGGTTTTGATCAACGTGAAGGTATTGACTTTAACGAGATTTTTTCTCCAGTTGTTCGTCATACTTCTATACGTGTTCTACTTGCTTTTGTTGCTCTTTTTGATTTGGAGTTGGAGCAACTTGATGTAAAGACTGCTTTCCTACATGGAGAGCTTGATGAAGAACTTTACATGTACCAACCTGAAGGATTTGAAGTTCCTGGGAAGGAACATTGTGTCTGTCATCTACAAAAATCTCTTTATGGGCTAAAGCAAGCTCCAAGGCAATGGTATAAGCGGTTTGATGCGTGTATGTTGGGGCAAGGATTCTCAAGAAGCCAGTATGATAGTTGTGTCTATTTTAAAGAATTTTCTAAAGGGTCTTTTGTCTATTTGCTTCTTTATGTTGATGATATGCTCATTGCTTCCCCTGATATGTCTCTGGTTGATGAGTTGAAGTCTCAACTAAGCAATGAGTTTGAGATGAAAGACCTCGGTGCAGCAAAGAAGATTCTTGGCATGGAGATACACAGGGATCGTCAAGCGGGTAAACTTTATCTATCCCAGAAAAAGTATGTTGAGAAGGTGCTTGATCGATTCAATATGTCCACTTGTAAACCTGTGTCTACTCCACTTGGTGCACATTTTAAGGTATCCTCTGGTTCATGCCCTAAGTCTGATGTTGATGTGGCTTATATGTCAAAAGTTCCTTACTCTAGTGCTGTTGGAAGTCTTATGTATGCTATGGTATGCACTAGACCTGATTTGGCTCATGCTGTAAGTGTTGTGAGTCGTTACATGCATAACCCTGGTAAGGAACATTGGAACGCCGTTAAATGGATTCTACGGTACCTAAAGGGTACTTCGTCTTTGGGCTTGGTTTTTGATCGAAATTCTTCTGCATCTACTGACATTGTGGGCTTTGTAGATTCTGATTATGGTGGTGATCTTGACAGACGTCGATCGCTTTCCAGTTATATTTTCACTCTTTGTAATTGTGCTATCAGTTGGAAAGCTACGCTTCAGTCTATTGCTGCGTTATCTACGACTGAGGCGGAATATATTGCAGCCACAGAGAGTGTCAAAGAAGCTACTTGGCTACGAGGTTTGGTTATGGAACTTGGTGTTTCACAAGGTCACACTATTGTGTTCTCTGATAGTCAAAGTGCTATTCATCTCACCAAGAATGATACCTATCATGCCAAAACCAAACACATTGATGTCAGATATCATTTTATTCGAGATGTTGTAGCTGCGGGAGATATAGTCGTTCAGAAGATTCATACATTGGAGAATCCAGCAGATATGCTCACCAAGCCTCTACCTATTATTAAGTTCAAGCAATGCTTGAGCTTAGTCGGCTGTTCCAGTTGTTAATTTCCACAATGGATTTGATCCAAGGTGGAGATTGTTAGAAAATAATAAATTTTGTGGCTCAAACCTGTGGAGACCACTTCCATCCACGTCGCTATGCATGTCTTCACTTCTTGCACGTCATATTGCATGCCATCACCGATTGTTGCGGAGCTTCACGCAAATGCCGCATAGCTCTCTCACTTTTAATTGTATAAATAGTTGTTTATCTTTTGTAATTCATGCAACATCAATTCATTCATTCTTTCTTCTTTATCATACGTAGAGTATATATATATTCCTTTGTTTTCTCTTTATAAGAGATTAATATATATATATTTATATTTTCCCACTTTATTAATTTATTTTGTCATTTATTATATTCTCCCCTATTATTTAACTTCTATAATTCTCAATTTTCGATTCTTCGCTTCCGCATTATTCCGCTATATTCCTAACAGTATTAACTCGTTGAAAAAGAAGTCAGCGTAACATTGGAAATGATTTGTATTAACTTGTTGAAAAAGAAGTCGGCGTAACATTGGAAATGATTTGTATTAACATTGGAAACCAATAGACTCCAAACTAATAATCATATGCTAATTGGTAGTTTCTACTTTTGTATAGAATAATGTAGGACATACCATAATGTATTCCTCTTAGACAATTTATCAAGCAGGCCGCGGAGGGATACCTCCGCATAGCTAGTTAGCAGGCTGAGGTCTCGTTCATTAACGGAATTAACCAGACAAATCGCTCGTTCTGTGAGCGCCTTGAGCGCGTCGTGGCGCGTGGCCCTATTGCGAAGAGACAGAAGGTTACCGCGCAGTCTGGCGCCCCCCCTTCTGAGCCTGGTGCGCCCCCACCGGGAGGGCCGCGGCCGCAGGCGAGTCGCCCCCCTGTACTGCCGGTCGTACCGCCCCCGCTGCCGCTCTACCCCTTACAATACCCCGTCGCGTATTTAAGTCGTCTGCAAAGGATTCAGCTCGCCGCTCGATCGGAATTGTAATTCAAGGCGGCCACCGTGACCCTTCCGCCATGACGACTTAGCCAACGACACGTCAGAGAATATATGAATTGCGTTAATGGGATAAATACTTTTCTTAGGAGGAGAAAAATATCAACCAATGGTGACAATGCCATCCCTCAACCATTTTTATTTTTTTTTTATATAAATACCTTAGCTCACCATATAATAATAATAAGGAAAAAATGCATTTCTCATCCCTAAGTTATAGAATAGTTTTAGAATCCATCCCTATTTGTTAGTCATGCTCATTTCTCGTTCCTAAGCTATAAGCCTATAATAACTAACCTTACAAATTTTGTCCTTTAATAAAATCGATCAAACAAACAAACAGCCGTACGAATAATTTAATCGAGTGTTTTGTTTTTCCATTCCTCACTGACCTGAATAAACAAAGTCGACGGATGCTCACAACGCCCATTACGCTTGGGCAGATTCGCTTCACTATCTTAGTTAAGGAAAGTATAGACTAAAGTTAATGCTGAATCATTAATTAATTAAATCAACTTACCTGGGGATTGAACCCAGAATCTCTAGTTTCGTAAACCAACGCCTTATCCATTGGGCCATGAAGTCCTTAGCCATTATGTACTTTTAATTGCAATAAATTATAACATTGGAAATGATTTGTATTAACTCAGCTCGTTGAAAAAGAGGTCGGCACAAGACACTCTTACAATCCATGAGAGAATGGTTTTCAACCTCAACCCAAATGGTTAGGTTCATTATCTGGAAACTATAAACTAGAGTTAATGCTGAACCATTAATTAGTTAAATAGTAAATCAATTTCAATGGGGATCGGACCCAAAATCTCTGGTTTCGTAGACCAGCACCTTATCCATTGGGCCATAAAGTCCTTAGCCATTATGTATTTTTAATTGCAATTAATTATAAAATTGGAAATGATTTGTATTAACTCGTTGAAAAAGAGTTAGGCGCAAGACACTCTTACAAATCCATGGGAGAAGGGATCGAAACCAAAATCTCTAGTTTCGTACACCAACGCCTTATCCATTAGGCCATGAAGTCCTTAGCTATTATGTACTTTTAATTGCAATTAATAATAACATTGGAAATGATTTGTATAAACTCGTTGAAAAAGAGGTCGGCGCAAGACACTCTTATAATCCATGGGAGAAGTGATCAGCGAATGGTTTTCGACCTCAACCACTTGCAAGACACTCTTACAATCCATAGGTTCACTATCTTTATTGAACCATTAATTAGTCGACTTCACTGGGGATTGAACTTAGAATCTCTGGTTTCGTAGACCAGCGCCTTATCCATTGGGCCATGAAGTCCTTAACCGTTATGTATTTTTAATTGCAATTATTTATAAAATTGGAAATGATTTGTATTAACTCATTGAAAAAGAGTTGGGCGCAAGACACTCTTACAATCCATGGGAGAGGGGATCGAACCTAAAATCTCTGGTTTCGTACACCAATGCCTTATCCATTGGGCCATGAAGTCCTTAGCCATTATGTACTTTTAATTGCAATTAATTATAACATTGGAAATAATTTGTATTAACTCGTTGAAAAAGAGGTCGGCGCAAGACACTCTTACAATCCATGGGAGAAGCGATCGGCGTATGGTTTTCGACCTCAACCGAAGTGGTTGGCCGGGTTCACTATCTTAGTTAAGGAAAGTATAAGCTAGAGTCAATACTGAACCATTAATTAGTAAATTGACTTCACTGGGGGTTAAACCCAGAACTTCTGGTTTCGTAGACCAGCGCCTTATCCATTGGGCCATGAAGTCCATTGCCATTATGTAGTTTTAATTGCAATTAATTATAAAATTGGAAATGATTTGTATTAACTCGTTGAAAAAGATGTCGGCGTAACATTGGAAATGATTTGCATTAACTTGTTGAAAAAGAAGTCATCAACTTAACTGGGGATCAAACCCGAAATCTCTGGTTTCGTAAACCAGCGCCTTATCCATTGGGCCATGAAGTCCTTAGCCATTATGTACTTTTAATTGCAATAAATTATAACATTGGAAATGATTTGTATTAACTCGTTGATAAAGAGGTCGGCATAAGACACTCTTACAATCCATGAGATAATGGTTTTCAACCTCAACCCAAGTGGTTAGGTTCATTATCTGGAAACTATAAACTATAGTTAATGCTGAACCATTAATTAGTTAAATAGTAAATCAATTTCAATGGGGATCGGACCCAAAATCTCTGGTTTCGTAGACCAGCGCCTTATCCATTGGGCCATAAAGTCCTTAGCCATTATGTATTTTTAATTGCAATTAATTATAAAATTGGAAATGATTTGTATTAACTCGTTGAAAAAGAGTTAGGCGCAAGACACTCTTACAATCCATGGGAAAGGGTATCGAACCCAAAATCTCTGGTTTCGTACACCAACACCTTATCCATTGGGCCATGAAGTCCTTAGCCATTATGTACTTTTAATTGCAATTAATTATAACATTGGAAATGATTTGTATTAACTCGTTGAAAAAGAGGTCGGCGCAAGACACTCTTATAATCCATGGGAGAAGTGATCAAGCGAATGGTTTTCGACCTCAACCACTTGCAAGACACTCTTACAATCCATGGGAGAAGCAATATCAATACTGAACCAGTGGTTGGGTTCACTATCTTAGTTAAGGAAAGTATAGGCTAAAATCAGTACTGAACCATTAATTAGTCAACTTCACTGGGGATCGAACCCAGAATCTCCAGTTTCGTAGACCAACACCTTATCCATTGGGCCATGAAGTCCTTAACCGTTATGTAGTTTTAATTGCAATTAATTATAACATTGCTAATGATTTGTATTAACTCGTTGAAAAAGATGTCGACGTAACATTGGAAATGATTTGTATTAACTTGTTGAAAAAGAAGTCCACGCAAAGTGGTTAGGTTCACTATCTTAGTTAAGGAAAGTATAGACTAGAGTTAATGCTGAATCATTAATTAATTAAATAGTAAATCAACTTAACTAGGGATTGAACCTAGAATCTCTGGTTTCGTAAACCAACGCCTTATCCGTTGGGCCATGAAGTCCTTAACCATTATGTACTTTTAATTTCAATAAATTATAACATTGGAAATGATTTGTATTAACTCAGCTCGTTGAAAAAGAGGTCGGCACAAGACACTCTTTCAATCCATGAGAGAATGGTTTTCAACCTCAACCCAAGTGGTTAGGTTCATTATCTGGAAACTATAAACTAGAGTTAATGCTGAACCATTAATTAGTTAAATAGTAAATCAATTTCAATGGGGATCGGACCCAAGATCTCTGGTATCGTAGACCAGCGCCTTATCCATTGGACCATAAAGTCCTTAGCCATTATGTATTTTTAATTGCAATTAATTATAAAATTGGAAATGATTTGTATTAACTCATTGAAAAAGAGATGGGCGCAAGACACTCTTACAATCCATGGGAGAGGGGATCGAACCCAAAATCTCTAGTTTTGTATACCAATGCCTTATCCATTGGGCCATGAAGTCCTTAGCCATTATGTACTTTTAATTGCAATTAATTATAACATTGGAAATAATTTGTATTAACTCGTTGAAAAAGAGGTCGGCGCAAGACACTCTTACAATCCATGGGAGAAGCGATCGGCGTGGTTTTCGACCTCAACTGAAGTGGTTGGCCGGGTTCACTATCTTAGTTATGGAAAGTATAACTTGCTAGAGTCAATACTGAACCATTAATTAGTAAATCAACTTCACTGGGGATTGAACCCAGAATCTCGGGTTTCGTAGACCAGCGCCTTATCTATTGGGCCATGAAGTCCTTAGCCATTATGTAGTTTTAATTGCAATTAATTATAACATTGGAAATGATTTGTATTAACTCGTTGAAAAAGAAGTCGGCGTAACATTGGAAATGATTTGCATTAACTTGTTGAAAAAGAATTCATCAACTTAACTGGGGATCGAACCCAAAATCTCTGGTTTCGTAAACCGGCACCTTATCCATTGGGCTATGAAGTCCTTAGCGATTATGTACTTTTAATTTCAATAAATTATAACATTGGAAATGATTTGTATTAACTCGTTGAAAAAGAGGTCGGCATAAGACACTCTTACAATCCATGAGAGAATGGTTTTCAACCTCAACCCAAGTGGTTAGGTTCATTATCAGGAAACTATAAACTAGGGTTAATGCTGAACCATTAATTAGTTAAATAATAAATCAATTTCAATGGGGATCGGACCCAAAATCTCTGGTATCATAGACCAGCGCCTTATCCATTGGGCCATAAAGTCCTTAGCCATTATGTATTTTTAATTGCAATTATTTATAAAATTGGAAATGATTTGTATTAACTCATTGAAAAAGAGTTGGGCGCAAGACACTCTTACAATCCATGGGAGAGAGGATCGAACCCAAAATCTCTAGTTTCGTACACCAATGCCTTATCCATTGAGCCATGAAGTCCTTAGCCATTATGTACTTTTAATTGCAATTAATTATAACATTGAAAATAATTTGTATTAACTCGTTGAAAAAGAGGATGGCGCAAGACACTCTTACAATCCATGGGAGAAGCGATCGGCGTATGGTTTTCGACCTCATCCATGGGAGAAGCGATCGGCGTATGGTTTTCGACCTCAACCGAAGTGGTTGGCCGGGTCCACTATCTTAGTTAAGGAAAGTATAAGCTAGAGTCAATACTGAACCATTAATTAGTAAATCGACTTCTCTGGTGATTGAACCCGGAATCTCTGGTTTCGTAGACCAGCGCCTTATCCATTGGGCCATGAAGTCCTTAGCCATTATGTAGTTTTAATTGCAATTAATTATAAAATTGGAAATGATTTGTATTAACTCGTTGAAAAAGAAGTCGGCGTAACATTGGAAATGATTTGCATTAACTTGTTGAAAAAAAAGTCATCAACTTAACTGGGGATCAAACCCGAAATCTCTGTTTTCGTAAACCAGCGCCTTATCCATTGGGCCATGAAGTCCTTAGCCATTATGTACTTTTAATTGCAATAAATTATAACATTGGAAATGATTTGTATTAACTCGTTGAAAAAGAGGTCGGCATAAGACACTCTTACAATCCATGAGAGAATGGTTTTCAACCTCAACCCAAGTGGTTAGGTTCATTATCTGGAAACTATAAACTAGAGTTAATGCTGAACAATTAATTAGTTAAATAGTAAATCAATTTCAATGGGGATCGGACCCAAAATCTCTGGTTTCGTAGACCAGCGCCTTATCCATTGGGCCATAAAGTCCTTAGCCATTATGTATTTTTAATTTCAATTAATTATAAAATTGGAAATGATTTGTATTAACTCGTTGAAAAAGAGTTAGGCGCAAGACACTCTTACAATCTATGGGAGAGGGGATCGAACCCAAAATCTCTGATTTCGTACACCAACGCCTTATCCATTAGGCCATGAAGTCCTTAGCTATTATGTACTTTTAATTGCAATTAATTATAACATTGGAAATGATTTGTATTAACTCGTTGAAAAAGAGGTCGGCGCAAGACACTCTTATAATCCATGGGGGAAGCAATATCAGTACTGAACCAGTGGTTGAACCATTAATTAGTTGACTTCACTAGGGATCGAACCCAGAATCTCTGGTTTCGTAGACCAGCGCCTTATTCATTAGGCCACGAAGTCCTTAACCGTTATATAGTTTTAATTGCAATTAATTATAACATTGCTAATGATTTGTATTAACTCGTTGAAAAAGAAGTCGGCGTAACATTGGAAATGATTTGTATTAACTTGTTGAAAAAGAAGTCCACGCATAATAAATCAACTTAACTAGGGATCGAACCCAGAATCTCTGGTTTCGTAAACCAGCGCCTTATCCATTAGGCCATGAAATCCTTAACCGTTATGTAGTTTTAATTGCAATTAATTATAACATTGCTAATGATTTGTATTAACTCGTTGAAAAAGAAGTCGGCGTAACATTGGAAATGATTTGTATTAACTTGTTGAAAAAGAAGTCCACGCAAAGTGGTTAGGTTCACTATCTTAGTTAAGGAAAGTATAGACTAGAGTTAATGCTGAATCATTAATTAATTAAATAGTAAATCAACTTAACTAGGGATTAAACCCAAAATCTCTGGTTTCGTAAACCAACGTCTTATCCATTGGGCCATGAAATCCTTAACCATTATGTACTTTTAATTGCAATAAATTATAACATTGGAAATGATTTGTATTAACTTGTTGAAAAAGAAGTCCACGCAAAGTGGTTAGGTTCACTATCTTAGTTAAGGAAAGTGTGGACTAGAGTTAATGCTGAATCATTAATTAATTAAATAATAAATCAACTTAACTGGGGATTAAACCCAGAATCTCTAGTTTCGTAAACCAACGCCTTATCCATTGGGCCATGAAGTCCTTAACCTTTATGTACTTTTAATTGCAATAAATTATAACATTGGAAATGATTTGTATTAACTCAGCTCGTTGAAAAAGAGGTCGGCACAAGACACACTTACAATCCATGAGAGAATGGTTTTCAATCTCAACCCAAGTGGTTAGATTCATTATCTGGAAACTATAAACTAGAGTTAATGCTGAACCATTAATTAGTTAAATAGTAAATCAATTTTAATGGGGATCGGACCCAAAATCTCTGGTTTCGTAGAGCAGCGCCTTATCCATTGGGCCATAAAGTCCTTAACCATTATGTATTTTTAATTTCAATTAATTATAAAATTGGAAATGATTTGTATTAACTCGTTGAAAAAGAGTTAGGCGCAAGACACTCTTACAATCCATGGGAGAGGGGATCGAACCCAAAATCTCTGGTTTCGTACACCAACGCCTTATCCATTGGGCCATGAAGTCCTTAGCCATTATGTACTTTTAATTGCAATAAATTATAACATTGGAAATGATTTGTATTAACTCGTTGAAAAAGAGGTCGGCATAAGACACTCTTACAATCCATGAGAGAATGGTTTTCAACCTCAACCCAAGTGGTTAGGTTCATTATCTGGAAACTATAAACTAGAGTTAATGCTGAACAATTAATTAGTTAAATAGTAAATCAATTTCAATGGGGATCGGACCCAAAATCTCTGGTTTCGTAGACCAGCGCCTTATCCATTGGGCCATAAAGTCCTTAGCCATTATGTATTTTTAATTTCAATTAATTATAAAATTGGAAATGATTTGTATTAACTCGTTGAAAAAGAGTTAGGCGCAAGACACTCTTACAATTTATGGGAGAGGGGATCGAACCCAAAATCTCTGATTTCGTACACCAACACCTTATCCATTAGGCCATGAAGTCCTTAGCTATTATGTACTTTTAATTGCAATTAATTATAACATTGGAAATGATTTGTATTAACTCGTTGAAAAAGAGGTCGGCGCAAGACACTCTTATAATCCATGGGGGAAGCAATATCAGTACTGAACCAGTGGTTGAACCATTAATTAGTTGACTTCACTAGGGATCGAACCCAGAATCTCTGGTTTCGTAGACCAGCGCCTTATTCATTAGGCCACGAAGTCCTTAACCGTTATGTAGTTTTAATTGCAATTAATTATAACATTGCTAATGATTTGTATTAACTCGTTGAAAAAGAAGTCGGCGTAACATTGGAAATGATTTGTATTAACTTGTTGAAAAAGAAGTCCACGCATAATAAATCAACTTAACTAGGGATCGAACCCACAATCTCTGGTTTCGTAAACCAGCGCCTTATCCATTAGGCCATGAAATCCTTAACCGCTATGTAGTTTTAATTGCAATTAATTATAACATTGCTAATGATTTGTATTAACTCGTTGAAAAAGAAGTCGGCGTAACATTGGAAATGATTTGTATTAACTTGTTGAAAAAGAAGTCCACGCAAAGTGGTTAGGTTCACTATCTTAGTTAAGGAAAGTGTGGACTAGAGTTAATGCTGAATCATTAATTAATTAAATAGTAAATCAACTTAACTAGGGATTAAACTCAAAATCTCTGGTTTCGTAAACCAACGTCTTATCCATTGGGCCATGAAATCCTTAACCATTATGTACTTTTAATTGCAATAAATTATAACATTGGAAATGATTTGTATTAACTCAGCTCGTTGAAAAAGAGGTCGGCACAAGACACACTTACAATCCATGAGAGAATGGTTTTCAATCTCAACCCAAGTGGTTAGATTCATTATCTGGAAACTATAAACTAGAGTTAATGCTGAACCATTAATTAGTTAAATAGTAAATCAATTTTAATGGGGATCGGACCCAAAATCTCTGGTTTCGTAGACCAGCGCCTTATCCATTGGGCCATAAAGTCCTTAACCATTATGTATTTTTAATTTCAATTAATTATAAAATTGGAAATGATTTGTATTAACTCGTTGAAAAAGAGTTAGGCGCAAGACACTCTTACAATCCATGGGAGAGGGGATCGAACCCAAAATCTCTGGTTTCGTACACCAACGCCTTATCCATTGGGCCATGAAGTCCTTAGCCATTGTGTACTTTTAATTGCAATTAATTATAACATTGGAAATGATTTGTATTAACTCGTTGAAAAAGAGGTAGGCGCAAGACACCCTTATAATCCATGGGAGATGTGATTTTCGACCTCAACCACTTGCAAGACACTGTTATAATCCATGGGGGAAGCAATATCAATACTTGATTAGTTGACTTCACTGAGGATCGAACCCAGAATCACTGGTTTCGTAGACCAGCGCCTTATCCATTGGGCCATGAAGTCCTTAACCGTTATGTAGTTTTAATTGCAATTAATTATAACATTGCTAATGATTTGTATTAACTCGTTGAAAAAGAAGTCGGCGTAACATTGGAAATGATTTGTAATAACTTGTTGAAAAAGAAGTCCACGCAAAGTGGTTAGGTTCACTATCTTAGTTAAGGAAAGTATAAACTAGAGTTAATGCTGAATCATTAATTAATTAAATAGTAAATCAACTTAACTGGGGATCGAACCCAAAATCTTTGGTTTCGTAGACCAGCGCTTTATCCATTGGGCCATGAAGTCCTTAACTGTTATGTAGTTTTAATTGCAATTAATTATAACATTGCTAATGATTTGTATTAACTCGTTGAAAAAGAAGTCGGCGTAACATTGGAAATGATTTGTATTAACTTGTTGAAAAAGAAGTCCACGCAAAGTGGTTAGGTTCACTATCTTAGTTAAGGAAAGTATAGACTAGAGTTAATGCTGAATCATTAATTAATTAAATAGTAAATCAACTTAACTAGGGATTGAACCCAAAATCTCTGGTTTCGTAAACCAACGCCTTATCAATTGGGCCATGAAGTCCTTAACCATTATATACTTTTAATTGTAATAAATTATAACATTGGAAATGATTTGTATTAACTTGTTGAAAAAGAAGTCCACGCAAAGTGGTTAGGTTCACTATTTTAGTTAAGGAAAGTATAAACTAGAGTTAATGCTGAATCATTAATTAATTAAATAGTAAATAAAACTTACTATACTGGGAATTGAACCCAGAATCTCTAGTTTTGTAAACCAGCGCCTTATCCATTGGGCCATGAAGTCCTTAACCATTATTTAGTTTTAATTGCAATTAATTATAACATTGCTAATGATTTGTATTAACTCGTAGAAAAAGAAGTCGGCGTAACATTGGAAATGATTTGTATTAACTTGTTGAAAAAGAAGTCCACGCAAAGTGGTTAGGTTCACTATCTTAGTTAAGGAAAGTATAAACTAGAGTTAATGCTGAATCATTAATTAATTAAATGGTCAGGTTCACTATCTTAGTTATGGAAAGTATAAACTAGAGTTAATGCTGAATCATTAATTAATTAAATAGTAAATCAACTTAACTGGGGATTGAACCCAGAATCTCTAGTTTCGTAAACCAACGCCTTATCCATTAGGCCATGAAGTCCTTAACCATTATGAACTTTTAATTGCAATAAATTATAACATTGGAAATGATTTGTATTAACTCAGCTCGTTAAAAAAGAGGTCGGCACAAGACACTCTTACAATCCATGAGAGAATGGTTTTCAACCTCAACCCAAGTGGTTAGATTCATTATCTGGAAACTATAAACTAGAGTTAATGCTGAACCATTAATTAGTTAAATAGTAAATCAATTTCAATGTGGATCGGACCCAAAATCTCTGGTATCGTAGACCAGCGCCTTATCCATTGGGCCATAAAGTCCTTAGCCATTATGTATTTTTAATTGCAATTAATTATAAAATTGGAAATGATTTGTATTAACTCGTTGAAAAAGAGTAAGGCGCAAGACACTCTTACAATCCATGGGAGAGGGGATCGAACCCAAAATCTCTGGTTTCGTACACCAACGCCTTATCCATTGGGCCATGAAATCCTTAGCCATTATGTACTTTTAATTGCAATTAATTATAACGTTGGAAATGATTTGTATTAACTCGTTGAAAAAGAGGTCGGCGCAAGACACTCTTATAATCCAAGGGAGAAGTGATCAGCGAACCATTAATTAGTCGACTTCACTGGGGATCGAACCCAGAATCTCTGGTTTCGTAGACCAGCACCTTATCCATTGGGCCATGAAGTCCTTAACCGTTATGTAGTTTTAATTGCAATTAATTATAACATTGCTAATGATTTGTATTAACTCGTTGAAAAAGAAGTCGGCATAACATTGGAAATGATTTGTATT